CATATCCAGCAGACAGTTGTTCCTCCTATCCCAAAACTCCGTAGTCTCCTTAGCTCCCGTAGAAGCTAAAGACCGAAGCTCGAAAAACCCGGTCTTCAAACCCTTTCGGGTTTCTAGATCGAGTCAAAACCGGATACAATCTAACAAACCCGAGTTTGTCAAAGCCATTAGAGACCAACTTAGCAAGATAGGAATATCTTCCGAGGGAACCTCTAAGCATGTAGCTCCCGATACTCCTTTATCCAATAGCGTAAATGTTCTAGATCAAAAATCGAGACAGAATCCGTCCCCGAAATTAATAAGTTTCATTGGAAAAACCCATTACCTATGATTGTTGCCCCGACATAGGTGAAATGCCAAACAAGTTAGCCCAACCTAGGTTCAATGCCTCTTCCATTTATGAATGGACTATAGATGGCCCGTCGGAGTATAATATCCTTAGTCTACTCCAACAAATGACCATGGTCGCTAACGCCTACAAAACCCAAACTCGGTACTCCCGACCGAGCGATAGCCGAATTGCTTATCGCGGATTTTCCGGTCAACTCAAAGGATGGTGGGACTATCATCTCACCGCCCAACAAAGATATGGAAATTTTAAATGCCATACAAACGTACCAAGAAGGTCTCCCTATCCTAGATGACTTAGGAGAACCCATCCAAGATGTCGTGTCCACCCTTATCTTAACCATTTCTCTTCATTTCATCGGTGACCCTTCTCATCTTAAAGACAAAAACGCCGAGCTTCTTAGTAACCTTAGGTGTAAGAAACTTAGTGACTTCCAAGCATTACAAAACCACTTTCCTAACCGCAGTTATGCTTAGGGAAGATTCAAACCAACCTTTTGGAAGGAGAAATTCCTTGCGGGTTTACCAACCCTCTTAGGAGAAAAGGTTAGAACCCGAATTAAGGATGCTTTTGGTGACCAAATTCCTTATGACCAATTGACTTATGGTGAACTCGATAAGTTTAACCCAAAAAGAAGGTCTTAAGATATGTCAAGACTTAAAGCTCCGTAAACATCTTAAGTGGGAAATGAAAAAGACTAGACAGGAATTAGGAAGTTTCGCAAACAATTTGACATTTCCACTTCAAAGCCTTCGAGTTGCCAAGGTAATTGCCAAGACAAAACCCACAAATCTTACAAAAAACCTTATAGAAAACATTATCATAGTGGATCAACCCAAAGATATAGAACCTTTCTATAAGAAACCATCCAACAAAAACCCCAAAAAACCCTTTAGGAAAACCCAGCTTAGATCCCAATCTAGAACCGAGCTAAAGGATGTTACTTGTTTCAAATGTGGACAAAAAGGCCATACGGTAAGATATTGTCGTATGAATACTAGATTACAAGAGCTTCATTTAGATGAAGATGTTTATAACAAAATTTCGCTTTGTTAGTCGATTCCTCCGACCCTTCGGACTACTGCGGTAGTGAAGAGACTTTTCGAGTAGATGAACTTGTCACGTCCTCCAGTTCAAAACCCAGCTTCGATAGTGAACCGGATAACAAAACCAAACATGCCGTTGTCTTAACCAAAGACCAAGACCTCATTTTAGTTTTGTCGAGAGGTGAGGAAATGTTTGAAGGTGGTCGATTTTGTGTTTTCTAGGATGGCCATATAGTAGGCTTGGGTTTTGGATAAATCCCATGGGGTGTAGTGCCATCCAGGAGGAAAGAATTTCGAACAATTTTGTAAGGTCTCGTCAAAGAAATAACCATCTTCGACAAGTAAATATTTTTTGAAATTCTCGTTTGAGAAAATACTCGGATGTGGATCTTTTGAAAACAGGTTTTGCGAAACAATCACCCGAGTGTTTTGTGAAGAAGGATTTTGAGAAATAAGTTTTGAAGATTCATTTGATTTTGGAGAAAGGGGTTTTTTAGAAGAGGAAGATCCTTTCTCTAGTTTTGAAATGGGCTCAAGATGCATACCCGAGATCTTTTGCGAGGCCGAAGTAGTTCCGACTGTTTTGTTAAATTCTGGACCCGGTCATCAATAGATTGGGTTGAGATAGGAGTTTCGGGTTTTGTTTTTCGACGACATCCGCCAAGAGATGGGTTTTCTTGAAGATAAGGGTTTTGGGCTTTCCGGTATAAGGGGTTTTTCCCTTTATCTTTCTTGGCCATCAAGACTGTTTTGCGGACATTCTTAAGTCAAGATCGTTAATAGAAATTTTGATAAAATGGATTTTACAAAGTTCGAATAAAAGATTTTGGAAATGGTTTAGGAAAATATTTTGGATGCATATGAAAATGCAGAATGCAATTGCGGGGTTTATGAATTAACTAGCCATCTATAATGCTCGGGATCTGGTGGCAATAATGGCTGCAAACTCACAATATTGGGGTAGGATTTTGTTTTTGATTATGCCTCTTTGGAGTTCATCCTCAAGGTAACTTTCTATGGAGTCAACTCGTTTGAAAGGGCATATTCAATATTGCTCGAGTGCTTCATTGATGAGATCGTCTTTGAAATCATCAATAGCATCTAAGGCATATGTTTCTAAGGTCTCGGGAGATCTATCTAGGGCTCTAACCGTTAAATAATCTTCCGTTTGATCGGTATTGAGACCCACAATATCCATAATGTCTTCTAGGATATCTTCTTCAAGAATAGGCAGTTGGTTGAACTCAATAGCTTCTTCTTGGACATAATTTTCATTTTGTTCATAAAATCTACCCATCCGTAAAGGACAAGTTGGAGGAGATCCTATGAGTTTTGTAGAAGGGATATGCGAAACTAGAGGAGTACATAGAACCATGGAATTTATTTCAAAAATAGAACATGTTTTAATAATATTCAAATTCCCGATTCGGGTTTCTCAATGAACGGGAAAACAAGTTTGGTATCTCTCGGTTTTGAAAAGTATGCAATCATGCTTCACGGAATAAGGAGTAACAAGATTTATGAAAGGTGTTCCTAAGATCACCATATGATGCATATTCTCAACAAGCGAGAAAATGATTTTTGATTGCAATACGACCACCGACCACGAGGCTTCGTCTTACCATGTATGGTCATTTTGGAATTGTTTGCTGCAGATAGACGTTCATGTGTATGCATATGAAAACGTTTTGGAACAATGCTTTGCTTAATACAATTCAGATCGGCACCAGTATCAAACAAGGCAATTGCATCAATTTTGTAATTATCATGGAACACAAGAGTAATCTTAATCAAATATTTCCTAGAAGTAACTTCACGAAGTACAAATAGGAAATCTTCCGGAACGTGTTCCGGGTTTTCAAGGTTTGGTAACTCTTGGTCATTATCTCGGTTTTCGCAGTCGAGTCCGACTCTTCATCTCGCCTCGTCCGTCCAACAGGGTTTTCAAGAGACCGGAGTCTCCGGTTTGTTTGTCTTTGAGCGCTTTAAGCTCTGTTTTGATGACCTTAATCTCGGTATATATATATATATATATATATATATATATATATATATATATGCCAACGCAACAAAGTTTGTGGTCTGTATAATTTTTATTAATGCAAAGGCGGTGAGCCCAGGAGAAAGAGTTCTCTTTCCCTGTAATTCTGCAAGTATTAGTGCAGGTGGAAAAGTGTTTTAACTTCTAATGGAACTTAATAAGCACCCACCACCTCGTTCCAATTGGATTGCTACTCTATATATTTATCTGCACAAATTAATATGTCCTTAATTGATTATTTTTGGCAAACCATTGATTGACTTAAATGTCTTTTTCTTTCTCGTCCTTGTCTCTTTGATGATAAATATTAATTCACTTCCGTTTTTGTTTCAATCACTAAATCGTCGTAATCTTTTTAGGCTATTACGTGGCTTCCTGATCAGTCTTGAGTCTCTTTTTGATGAACAGATGACTCTTAGTGTTGCCTTGCAAAGTGTTAGCTATCCCTAAAATCGCTGGTCATTTTCTTGATCCCTTCTCTTCCATTTAGCAGGTTTCAAGCTATACGTTATTTGTGATTGGGCCGCATTGATTGCTCAGTCTCTCTTAATCTAAGCACAAGAAGACCGACCTTCTTCTTTGGCCTAAAGCTTAGAGATGTACGAGGCTCTTCAACTTTTCCCTTAACCACTAAGAAAATTTTAAGTTCATATTTTTCCCATTAATTTTAGAATAAAAATAAATACCAACAACTTTTTAGTGTTTTAATATTATTATTATTATTAAATACTCAGACCGCTGAATCCAAAAGAAAAAAATTGAATGGATTAATACCAAATTAAGAAAAATTATTAATAAAAGAAAAATATTAACAAAGCTTGGTATCATCTTTTTATTCTCGTTCAAAAAACAAAAAACATATGTTAGTGGTATAAAACGTAATGTTTAATATAATAAACTTAATAATATTAATACACTATATCTATTTTTATCCAAACCATAACTGAAATTTCTATATTAAATCTTCAAATCATATAAAATTCATAAACTCAAAACAAATAATAAATTGATAAAAATTCAAGGAGGTAACTGATATAAATGAAATTTCATGGAAGAAATTGGAAATTAATTAGTGGACACAATCAAAAGAACTAAAGAGAAAGAGAGAGAGAGAGAGAGAAATTAAGGTATTTAAGGAGCTTATCTAAAAAAAGGAAAGGAATAAATGTAAGAAACAAAATGGAAATGTTTTCGAGCAGCAGTTGGTAACAACCAAAAAGAAAAGCTGTCATTAAGGAGATTTATCAACAAGGAATTACAAAATCTTAATTAGAGGAATCACTCAATTTACGCACTCATTACAAAGAATTTTCAGCCAATAAAAAAGGAAATGATTTCACATTAATTAAATGTCCAAATAAGGAAAAACAAAATTTATAAGGAAAAAGACTATAATTCCTGGTAAATATATTTTCAATAAATCTAAGCTTCTTTAACATACTATTCAATTTGATTGTCAAATTAATAAAATTTTCAGCATTTAAGATAGCAAAATAATAATATAAACAAAAGGAAATTAAGAAAAACAATAAAACATTTTCTAAAGAAGCACTTGATTATGACGATGGTCGGCAAAATAATGGAGGGCTAAACATAGTTAATAATGACTTGAAAAATAACACTACTGAATGCAAAGAATATTTTTTTTTAATACAAACAGATAGAATCATGTAAAATCATACCAGATAGATCATATAAACAAAAGGTAAAATAAATTCACCCGTGTTCTAATAAAAAAATAATTAAGACCAAAACACTTAAAAAACTTCCGACCTAAATCAAGCAGAAGTACTTGTTTTCTCCTCAAGACCACACACCAATAGCAGAACTAATCAGCAAAGAAGCCAAAATCACCATCACAGTTGGAGGAGTTGCAACCCAAGCAGCAGCAGGAGGTGCACCGGGGGCAACGTCTCCCGCATTGGAGTTGGATGAATTTGATGGCGCGGAGCTTGACTCAGGTGTTGGGGTTGGAGTTGATGAAGATGGTGATGGTGGAGTTGATGAAGATGGTGATGGTGATTCTTCTGGTGTTGGAGTACTAGCCAGTGGAGACGGAGACTTTGGTGGTTGTGCTGGTGCTGGAGGATTAGCCAATGGAGATGGAGAGCTTTCTGATCCTGGAGCCGATGCTGGCGACTTTGATGGCACTGGTGACATCTGTGGTGTCTTGGCCGCTGGTGATGGCCCTGGGGCCCCTGTTGGACCCTCGCTAATTGGTGATGGAGCCAATGTTGGTGTATTAGCGCTTGGCGGTGAAGACTTTGCAGGAACTGGTGACAGCCCTGGAGCCCCAGTTGGAGCCTTGCCGCTTGGCGATGGGGAGATAGGTGACACTGATGGGACTTGAGACGAGGTTGGAGGTTTTGCACTTGGTGATGGAGATTTTGATGATGCTGGAGATGGAACGTGATGAGCTCCTGGAGATGGTGCTTTGGGGGATATAGCTGGGGGTGTGACCCTGGTGGTTTAGGGGTTTGTTTTGGTCTAACAGAAAGGACTACAACAATCAGTTTTTGTCCCTTTCGACAATTATCTTCGTTTCCACTAATGAAAAAGTAGGAACCAGACTTGTCAAACTGAAACACAGAGGAACCAGAATCCATAGTCTTGAGAGGCTTCTTTGTGTTGCAACTGTTGTAATCATCTTTTGTCACAAGCAACACAGAGTCTGACCCTTTTTTGTACTGGAAAACTATAAAACAAATCAAACCAAAAAGCACAATACCAAGAAATTAAAAAAATAAAATAAAATTGAATCTTTGTCACTTAAAAACACATAACTAAAAACAGGAGATCTTACCAAGAGAGTCATTGACTTGGAACCGATGTCTTCCAGCCCAGTGATTGTAATTCTCTGAGGGATTTGGAACCCAACCATCTTTGCCACCTACATGGTAGCTATTGTAGGCCACAGAGGAGGAGATGTAGGAGCATGCAACCAAAACCCACAAGAGGGACAGAGATGTTTGAGAACCCATTTTGAGACAAATTATTGAAAAATGAAGACTAATGTTGTGTGCCTTCTCTATATATCGTGGAAGGGAAAAAGAAAATAGAAGGGGAAGCTTTTTGGGATTATTTGTTTGTTGGAGAATATGGTTTTAGAAAGAAACAACAAAAATAATGCAATGTAAGGATTGAATTATAAAGAAAGAACCTTCCATAAATGCTACAATAAACATACTACATACTTTCAACTCTATAGTTAAAAATCTTGAAAAGAAAAAACACAAATTAAAATCAATCTTAAATAAATAAAAAAATAGTTAGGAATTTTGAGACTAATTTTTTTTTGTCAAATTATTATTATTTTTTATATTTAATGATAATATATATTTTTGAATTAATTTTCACATTAACTGAGATAGCATATCATTTTCAAAAGATTTTAAAAATGAATCGCTCTACTCGATACATTTAGAGGAATTAATAAATTCTCTTTAATGTTAATCATAATATTTGAACTCATAATTTTTTTTTTTTTTTAAAAAAAAGCAAATCTTCTTAACAACCAGGCCAAATTCTTAGAGTTTGAGAAATTATTATAGAACTACTTTTTAGATAATTTTCTAAGAGTGGAAGCCATAATTGGAATTCTTACTTTTTGGGTTTACTTTTTTCTTTTTTTTTCTCTCTCTCAATTTTCCACCATAAATTTGAAAATATAAATGAAAGGAGAGTGTTAATTCAAAATAGTTTAATTTTTAATGTTTAATTAAATAAATATTAACTATTAAGATTTTCGCTATTCAATTGTTTTTCTGAAATGCTTAAATAAAATAAAAAAAATGATAGATTATGTCCCATAAAATGTGAGAAAATTCTAATCCGAAAAAAAATAAATATAGGAGAATCAAGGAAGTAAATACTGCCGCATTACTTTTTGTTTTTTTTTAAAAAAAAGCCAAAAAAAGAGAGGACCTTTTTCACCTCCAAAGCAATAAATTGAAACGCAATCTCACCATTTATTGCCTTTTATTTTTATTAATTTTTTATTTTATTTTGAAGCTTATTTTAATAAATTTAACTAACTTCTAGACGATGATTGTAATTGAGTGAAAATTACAATATTCTCTTTCCTAAGTTAATGGACAATAATTAACCCCTCTTAATTGTGTTTTAACCCGTGCTCTTTCTTTGAACGTTCGTTAGCTTTATCCTTGGAAAAATGCAACCCTCGTGTCCACTTACGTCCAAATCCGGGACCCCCCAAAAAATGTCAAACTAGTAGAAAATTACATTTAATATCAACTTTAATATTTATACTATGAATTTCCTCTTTGAAGTTTGGAAAAAAATAATAATAATTGCATCAAATTAATTTCCAATTGAAAAACCCCCAAAATTAACGAGATGCATTATATCACTATTTTTGGGTAAAAGGGCGAGGACTAAATTTCTTAAAATTGGTACAAGTTATGTTTTACGGTTTGAAGTTCTTGCTGGTTTAGATTTTGAAAGAGACAGAGAGCATGAACGACAATAAATCTAGAAATGGTTTGGAAAAAAAAAACACCTTTTTTTTTTACACAATTTTGAGTATTAATTTTTATTATTTAAAATCTAAACATAAATTTACAGAGACTTTCTCTCCATCCCCTCGATTTCTCACATAGGATTTTTTTTTCTTTCCAAGTGTTTTACTTTAATCATTAATTTTTTTTTCATTTTCTTAAATTCGGGCTAGATACTGTTTCTTTCTTACTTTTTGTTTTTTGTTTTGTACAACATGTCAGTAAAAACTGTCATGTTGTAGTTTAAAAATGCCACACGGTAGATGTTATTGAACACGTCAACAGAAATTGGTCTCACGTAACTTCATGCACAAAGAAAAAAAAATCAAAACTTGGATAACAAAGTTAAAAAAAAAATTCATTTGTTGGACAGAAAATTAAAAAAAAAAAAAATCAGACACCGAAAAAACAGTTTTCTCCCCCTAGAATGACAAAACAAATATTTTCGTCTGGTTAGGCATGTGAACCACTTATGCCCATAAAAAAATTGAATATGATTTATGACTACTTCTAATTAGTAAGTTCAAGGCTGTGTAATTCAATAAAAATTCTTCAATTTGCTACCCCACATCTTCTCTCGACCCAAAAAAGGTCCTACTTGCATGTGTTAAGCATGTAGCTCGATCTCATCCCTTCTTTTAACTTTGGTGGTTAGGAGTGGCCATCCTTTTTTTTTTGTTTTCTTTAAGGATGGAGAAAGGACGTAATTATTTATTTTTCATTTTTCTTGCAATAATAGTTTTTTTTTTCCTGCCTAATTAGAGAATTTTTTTTCTTTTACTGATAAATCGATATCCAAAATCATTCCATTTTCGATTATTTTCTCTACCACAACTCTGAATTTTTAAATTTCCATACGGTCCGCCAAAATCCTTTTTAAATTTTGTTGAATAATTCTTACCGTAATCCTTTCTATCCAACACACGACCAATTTCTCAAGCTATCATATGAGCATTAATTGTTTTATTTTTTTATTTTTTAACTATGAAAATCTTTTGTTTTATCATAATCTTTTACCTGTAAGGAAATTATTTTTTTATTATAAATAATTTTTTTGAGTGTTTAATATATTTTTTAAATAATAAATGTCATTCAACATGTAAATGGTATAAAAAATTGTCATGTATTGAACAAGAGGATTTTCTACCATCTTGCCCAGCAGGAAATTATTATTCTATATACTATATACAATTTAGTTACATCCTTCGTCTCGCACCAAGAAATAAATAAATGAGAGACTCATATATTCACGCAGGGCCGGCCCACATATTCCCAACGCAAGCCTGTTAGTGAATAGCCCACCCTTTTAAATGGCAACTAAGAAAAACTAACGGCTTGCTTCCATGCATTAGATTTAATAGAAAACTTCGTATAATATCATAAAATGTTTCACAAATTTATTGTATTTCATTGATTTTTTTTTTTTTTTTTCAGTCCTTCATGTTACGTACATATATAATTGTTGAATTTTTTATTAGCCCATGATCCTTACTAATGCTTTCCACTACTTTATAACTTTGGTTTCTGTCACGTTTGCTGGTCACCTTGGTCAGCTTGAGCTTGCTGGCGCCACTATTGGGAGTTCAAGGTGCGCTGTCACCGCCGTTACTTTTATGATATCTCTCTCTCTAGCAATGGCAGGATTGTAGAATAGGTGATTTGGATCTGTAATTTGAAACGATTTCTTTTTCTGCTATGGAAAAGAAAACAGTGTTTTAATCCTTACGGGTCTAATGCTTCTATAAACCCTTTTGATTCATCACGTAGAATGCTTATGATTCTGCTTTTTAATTTTCTTTTTCCATTTTCCAGACTGGGTTAAGTGGAGCACTTGCGACGCTTTGTGGTCAAGGATTTGGTGGAAAACTATACAAAACATTAGGAATTCATCTACAAGCTTCTGCATCATATCCTTTCTGTGCTCTATAATCATGAGCATCCTCTGGCTTTACACCGAGCCTTTACTTATCCTCCTCGTCAAGATCCTCAAATTTCTAAAGCTGCTGCTATTTACATAAAGTACTCCATTCCAGGCTTATTTGCATGTGGATTCCTGAAAAACATCTTGAGGTTTCTTCAGACACAATCTGTTGTCATGCCCCTCGTTCTGCTTTCAGGAATCACAATGTGCGTTCACATTGGTGTGACTTATGCATTGGTTCATAAGACAGCTCTTGGTTTCTAAGGAGCTTCATTGGAGGCTTCAGTGTCATTGTGGATATCAACAATTGTGTTGGCCATATATGTGATTTATTCAAAGAAATTTAAACAAACGTGGGAGGGGTTTTCATCTGAATCATTACACCACATCCCAATAAACTTGAAAATAGCCCTGCCTTCTGCTGCAATGGTGTGGTAAGAAAACCCCTAAATGTTTCATTATCTAGGTAATACGTTTTTGATCTGATAGATTTTACAACGTCAGTTTAATGATTTGCTAGTTTGGAGTACTGGGCCTTCGAGCTTTTGGTGCTCATAGCAGGAATGATGCCGAACGCTGAGCTAACTACGTCAGTGACAGCAATATGGTATGCTTTTCTCCTCAGTGTTATACATTTGTGCCAAAATGTGTCTGTTCTGCACTTGTTTTTCTTACTTGACTTTCTTAATGTTTTTGTTTGTCTTCAGTGTGAACACAGAAGAGATTGCCTACATGGGTACCTCTGATCTCAGTGCTGCTGCGAGGTAATTAGTTGGGAAATTAAAGTTACTTGTGTTACAATCTTACAAATATATCTTTTCCCATACAAATTTTAAATAATTGAAAGTAGTAATATCTCTTGACAGTACAAGGGTGTCTGATGAGTTGGGCGCAGGAAATCCTGATAAAGCTAAACATGCCAAGGCTACGACTCTCAAGCTCTCTGTTCTTCTTGCTCTTCTGATTGTTTTGCCTTTAGTAATTGGGCATGATATTTGGTCTTGCTTCTTCAGTGATGACCCCTCAATTTTAAAATCCTTTTTAGACCTTTCCTTGCAATATCTATAGCACTTGATGCTTTTCAAGTTGTCTTATCAGGTTTCTAGGATCCTATTTCTTTCTTTTCTCTTAACATTTTTTATCCTTTCCCCGTGATGGCTAACTGTATGCCTTACTTATATCTTAATGGAAGTAGTTTTATCTGCTGCAGGTGTAACAAGAGGTTGTGGTTGGCAGAATCTGGCTGCAATTGTAAATGTAGCAACATTCTATTGCATTGGGATGCCGATTGCGGCCGTCCTCGGATTCAAGATTAAGCTTTATTCTAAGGTGAAACAAAACTATGATAGTCTTTTTTTTCTGCTTTTACTTGCAAAAAGTAGGCAGTTATTCTTACACACATGTTAGACATTTAAATCTTCAAGGACATCAGTATCTCTGCATCGAAAAAGGAGGACATGCAACTAGCAAGTAGCTCATCTTATTTTCAATCTTTCTCCTCTTAATTTTTGGATCAGGGGTTATGGATTGGTTAAGTCTGTGGTCTCTCGTGCGACACCTTTATTCTGTTGTTTATTACACTGCGCAGAAAATGGACTAGAATGGAACTCTTGGAGACAGAGGATCATGATAGGGAAAATTCGAACTTGCCCTGAAAAAAATCTCCGAAGAATGCTTTTGGTGAACAAAGGTTCAGGTATGGATATGTTTTATTGAAGAACCAATATAAGAAATTTTGCAACGAATTTGTAATAGTGCAGCACAGAGAAACACAGGCAATCATGTTTGCAGGTTGCTGACTTAGATAAAAAGAGGAATGTGTTTCTATTTGATCTATTTGACTGTTTAAAAACTCTTAATAAGAAGGGAACAATTGGTATTCAAAAAAAAAAAAAAAAACTGTTCATTTACTGTTTATTTAGATCCGTTTGTTTGACGAAAACAACTTCCAATAGGAAAATTAATTATGAAGAAGTTATTTTCTAAAAAAATATTTTTTGACATTTGACAATTACATGAAAAACTACTGAAAAATATATTTTAATATTTTTTTAATACACCGAAATACAAAAATAGAATGTGATTGTTACTTTAACGAATTTTGAGAAAACTTTAACAAAACATATCCACAATTCTACAATATAAGATGTATTTAGAAAAATTTAATAAATTTTTATAAATATCGACTCAAAGATTTAAATTCAAAAAATCAAAAAATAAAATATACATTTTTAACCATTAAACCAATTTATCAAAATTACTTGGAACAAAATCAAGTCAATATTCACATTTAGTAAAAAAATTTCTAAATAATCCTAACATTGTTATTTTGGTAACTCAATTAAGAATTTTTTTTTTTTTTTTGAAAATTGAACTCGATAATTTAGTCTAAAAAATAGTTTTACAAATTATTAGTTATCATTTGTAGATAATTATTCATTTGGTTTCAAAATATTAATATTGAAATAATTTGTGACTAATTATTGACTATAGTTACCAATAAAATTTTACAATTGATTAAAATTAATCACAAATTATTGATTTAGTTGCAAATGAATAGTATTGAAAAAATAATATATTTATTAATGAATTAATTAGTTTCAAATTTTTCACAAATGATTGCGGTATTGTAACAATTATTTAAGTATAGTTTACGTGGCATTTGGGATAATGGCAAAAAAAAAAAAGAGATAAATTAGTGAAATATTTATCATAAAAATAATTTTAAGGAGTAAAAATGGTTTTTGAGAATATTTAATGTATTTATAAATCAAAAAATCAAATGTTAGTAGAAATAGAGAAAAAGATTATTAAATAATTAATACTAATCGATAAGAAATAATTAAAAATTAATTTGATATATTTATCTGATCCCTATAATACTCAATCACAACTCGGGTTATGTATTTATGCATGGAGATACGGCTATATAAGGACATTCTATGAAGTAAACTACGAACTGCTACATATTTAAATCATGCAAAAATATCAATTCATGAGGCAAGTCGAGAATGTGTTTGGTCGAGATCAACAATCCATCATATCTAAGAGACACGCAATTTATCTACCGGTAAAAGAAGTTCCAATAATATCATATGAAGATAATGTCGCATGTATAATTACATTAAAGGAAGAATACACCAAAATGACAATCTAGCGAGACTTGTTCACTAGAGCATTACCTACTACAACTTTTGAAAAGATGATTTACAAGATTGAATTATATCGTTTTAAAGATCTCAAGTGAAGTTTTCAACATTAAGAGGTCAACATTGAGATTAATGTGTATAAGGAATATTGTACTATTTTTCCTTCATTAGGATTTTTCCCATTGGGTTTTTTTATTTATTATGGTTTTAACGAGGTATATTCCTTGTACGATAGACATTCAAGGTGAAGTGTTATAAAATAATAAATACCCATTTCATATTCTCCACCATTTATATGATTTAATTCACCATTCAATATGAGAAATTGAAAGAACGATGCAATTTATTCAATTATTTATGCATTTTTTAATGGTTCATAATCCTTTCAAATTCTCTTCTTAATTTTGAAGCCTATAAATATGCTTGATTGTTCATTAATTTATGTATAAGTATTTTGTAGAGATTGAGAGGTTATTTAGAGTTGTTTTCTTTTATATTCACTTTATTTTATAATGAATTCATTTTTCTATTATCTTTCTCTTTAATAATTCTATTGTTTCTATTTTTTTTTATAACAATATAAGATTAAATAGACTCCATCGGTGCATGTTTTTTTTCTTAAGAGTGACAAGCAATACAACCATCTCGCTATCATATACAAAAAAAAACAAAACATCAACTTTGCAAAAGAAAAATTAGCTCTCCCACTTATCAATAAGCTTTTTTATGCGAACTTTTCTTCTTATCATGTTTCATTGTATGGACATGCATGAACGGAAAAAGTAAATAGCTTTGCAAAAGCTTTCATCTCACAAATAAATAGGGAACACATAAAAATCATCATCAAAATAATTTTTTGATCGGTATTATTATATTAGTTGCTTCATTGCTCCAACATTTCTCTCCGCCACGAACAACGTTACACCACCTGCTGCATAGCATGGATAACTAACTTGTATTCCCTAAATCAATGGAGATTTTTGAGTATCAGCAAGTACATAAAAAGCATGGTGTGAAAAGAAAATAAGCAAATTCTAGTATGATTAGCAAGGGCAAACTTCTTTTGTAACTTCAAGCTCTAGTTATTTTTGGTCTTCCTTAACAAAAAATTATCCATCGAAGCCTAAGAACACAAATCTAGCATCTAATTATATTAATTTGCTTGCTATATTACGTGTTAATTTCTCCCTACAATTCATCTTCTGTACATGTATTGAATAATCTCTTACTTTCCTACTTACTGTTATCAACTAATTAATTGTTACGTCATGGCAATAACATAACATGCAAACGACAAACATAAGTTAACACGTGGAGAGATAACTCGAATGATGAACGTAATAGTACGATCATTGGCATGCCTCGAACATCTCTACAATTTATATGCTAACAGACATATTATTTCATCTTGGCACCTCATCCATATATCCTACGCGTGGTAAGTACAAAAAACATATACTTACTCACTCTTGGCATTCCCATTGCGTCATAAGGTTTGCTGTAAAGTTCGACATCCCAATATGGCAATATGGGATTCAGAAGAGATGTCAAAGATAAAGTTTGCCGAAAACTTTAATATTTAATAAGGAGATAGAAAAACACCATCCCAATACGGGACTTAAAAGGTAATGGCAAGATATAAAGTTTGCTGCAAAACCATCTTGGTTGGCCCAGCGGTAAAGTTCGAAGTTTTCTTATCTCAACGCCCAAGGGTTGGAATTTCAGTTTAGGTTTTGAGAATGGGGATTATACTATAATTCAATGTACCAGCCCGTCTATACACCGTCAGCTGCTTTGCTGGATCTCAAAATTGGTAAAGCTTGTACTAGAAGCCTGGTCTGAAGGGTCTGCCTAGATATAGTTCCCTCGTTTTTTAAAAAAAATGGAAAATGTAAACTTTAGTGTTAATTGTAAATTACTCCCTCAATTTTCAAGAAACGAATTAATATTAATTTATTTAAAAAAATATATCATTTCTCATCAATCTTTTCATAATATAGATATATTTTTTTATTTTTTTTAAATAAATTGAAATAGAATAAAATGAATAAAATTATTAAGTTCAAACAAGAAAAATTAACTAATTGGTTTCTTAAAAATAAAGGGATTGATTTATAATTTACTTCAAATTTTATGACAAAATGACAAGACATAAAAGAAAATTTTATGAACTCAGCGTCGGTCTGTCGCGAGGGCCGGAATGTATATTTGTTACATTGGAAGGGCTATTCCATAAAGACATCCTCAAAATCTTAACCTTTGGGGGGGCCAGAGTCACATTCCCTTAAATTCGCTAATGGACAAAACTTATCTAAACATTAATTTCAAACAACCCATCCTCCGCGTCTCCCTTAAATTCGGAAATGCCCTTCTCTGTTTCCCATTTAGGCTTTTCTTCGAGTAAAAAAATAAAATAAAATATATTTTTATAAAATAATTAATTAAATTTATATTTATTTTGAAAAAATAGTTTTATATTTATAGGAAAAACTAATCTAATTTATTTTCAAAACAGACAAAAACGCACAGGAATATCCGCTCATGATCCGTTTTTGAGCAACCATGGCCAACTCCAAGTATATCCATGTCTGGTTATGATGTGGGTTCCATTGCCGAGTGAAAGATGGGTTGGTGGTGATTTAATTGAATATCCTAAAAGAAACATTGCGCAGCTGGCCAGCCCAACCAATGTGCAGAACTACTAACTTCTCTTATCTGTACACGTCGCCTATCCTATCCAACCAACCATTCCTCACTCTGTGCCTCACACGTGAGCATAATTTGGTTTTAACTGAAAAATTGAATCCAACCAAAATATCTATTTGAGTTTGGTTTCGATTCGGTTTTATTAGTTTAAACCGAAAACCGAAATTATATATATAAAAAAATAAATGAACTAAATAAAAATAACTTACAGTCTCCCAGAACATTAAGGGCATCTACAGCAGCTTTAGCTCAGATCTCTAGAGCCATTATTTCTTTTTGTGGGAGAAATTGCTGTAAAAAAGTTTATGGGGGAGAGAGAGAGAGGGGGAACGTAGCAGGTGGTGATTTTGATGGGTGCTGGACCGGGCCAGTGAGATATGGGCATTATCATGCTTTCTGGGGTCGAGGATAGCGTTGGTATATTCTGGTTCGATCCAGAAATTAAAAAAGTTTCATGGAATTAAATTTATGTCCATAATAGGAAGTCATGCTAAACGTGAGTCATGGTAAAAGGTTGTCGTTTGATCCATACACTTGTTTCCTTTTTGGCCACTCATTTAACAAAGCTAAATTTTTTTCCGCGAACCAATTTCGAACATATAATCTAATATTTTATTATAACCACAAAATGAAAGGCCTCTGATTTGACAAATTCGGTTTTGTCGGTTTAAACCGAATTATTCAAAACGGAAACAAAAAATTTCGGTTTTTAAATAAAATATCGAAATTAATTTAGTTTGATTTCGGTTATTATTTCTTCTAAATCCATTAATAAAACCCGACCCGTTTGATCACCTACCTGTGACTCCATAAACAATTTCTTAGTTCATCAGTAATTACTGAGCACCTCTGCCTTTCCACGTCTATTAGTACAGTGAGTAATTATTATTTCTGGACCGACAAGATATGAATGTTCTGTAAACCATTCCTTGAAAAATAATATACTAAAAAATAATATGGTTTTCTTGACAAAAGTAAATTAAAAAAAAAAAAAGTGATTCTGTGAGGTTCAGATATCATGTCGTCCATATCTAGCACGAGGCAAGATATATGATATGCTGATATAATGTGCAGTATTATGAGAATTCAGCCATTTCTAATTTAAAATTTGCCATAAGACTAGGAAACTGTTTCTTTCTTGAGATAGCAGCTATAGTCTATAGAGATGTCAAACACAAGGATGGATGCTACTTTACCCTTGTTGGAGGATCAAAATGGCAAGGGAAGGTACTGGAGGTGGATCAAAGTGCTGGATGTGGCAGAGGCAAAGGGCCAAGTCTTGTTTTCACTGCCCATGATCCTTACTAATGCTTTCTACTACTTAATAACTTTGGTGTCTGTCATGTTTGCTGGTCACCTTGGTCAGCTTGAGCTTGCTGGCGCAGCTCTTGGGAATTCATGGTGCACTGTCACCGGCATTGCTTTTATGGTACCTCTCTAGCAATGGCAGGATTGTAGAACAATTGATTTGCATCTATAATTTGAAACGATTTCTTTTTCTGCTATGGAAAAGAAGAACAATGTTTTAGTCCATATGGGTCTAACGCTTGTGTAAACCCTTTTCGATTTGTCACGTATAATGCTATGATTCTGCTTTTTAATTTTCTTTTTTCATTTTCCAGACTGGTTTAAGTGGAGCACTTGAGACGCTTTGTGGTCAAGGATTTGGTGCAAAACTATACAGAACATTAGGAATTCATCTACAAGCTTCCTGCATCATATCCTTTCTGTGCTCTATGATCATAAGCATTAGCTGGCTTTACACCGAGCCTTTACTCATCTTCCTCGGTCAAGATCCTCAAATTTCTAAAACTGCTGCTATTTACTTGAAGTACTCTATTCCAGGCTTGTTCGCATTTGGATTCGTGCAAAACATCTTGAGGTTTCTTCAGACACAATCAGTTGTCATGCCCCTCGTCCTGCTTTCAGGAATCCCGATGTGCATTCACGTTGGTGTGGCTTATGCACTGGTTCATAAGACAGCTCTTGGTTTCAAAGGAGCTTCACTGGCGGCTTCAGTGTCATTGTGGATATCAGCCATTGTGTTGGTCATATATGTGATTTATTCAAAGAAATTTAAACAAACGTGGGAGGGGTTTTCATCTGAATCATTACACCACATCCCAATAAACTTGAAACTAGCCCTGCCTTCTGCTGCAATGGTGTGGTAAGAAAACCCCTAAATGTTTCATTATCTAGGTAATACGTTTTTGATCTGATAGATTTTACAACGTCAGTTTGATGATTTGCTAGTTTGGAGTACTGGGCCTTCGAGCTTTTGGTGCTTATAGCTGGAATGATGCCGAACGCTGAGCTAACTACGTCAGTGATTGCAATATGGTATGCTTTTATCCTCAACGCTATAAATTTGTGCCAAAGTGTGACTGTTCTGCACTTGTTTTTCTTACTTTGGTAATGTTTTTGTTTGTCTTCAGTGTGAATACACAAGACATTGCCTACATGTGTACCTCTGGTCTAAGTGCTACTGTGAGGTAAATGGTTGAAATTAATATTACCTGTCATATTTCTAGTCTTACATATACTTTCCTGTACACTTTTAGTTATTGAAACTATAAATTTCTTCTGATAGCACAAGGGTGTCTAATGAGTTGGGAGCAGGAAATCCTGATAAAGCTAAGCATGCCATGGCTATGACTCTCAAGCTCTCTGTTCTTCTTGCTCTTCTGATTGTTTTATCCCTGGGAATTGGTCACGATATCTGGGCTGGCTTCTTCAGTGATGACCTTTCCATTATAAAAGCCTTTGCCTCGATGACACCTTTCCTTGCTATCTCTATCGCACTTGATGCTTTCCAAGTTGTGGTTTCAGGTTTCAAGGATCCTACTTCTTTCGTACTTCTTTTATCTAATATTTTTAATCTTTTTCTCACGATTGCTAATTTATATGCCTTGTTCTAATCTTAATGGATGTATTTTAATTTGATGCAGGGGTAACAAGAGGGTGTGGGTGGCAGAATCTGGCTGTTATTGTAAATGTAGCAACATTCTATTGCATTGGAATGCCGATTGCAGCTATCCTCGGATTTAAGTTTAAGCTTTATTCTAAGGTGAAACAAAACTTATACTTCTTTACTTTTAGACTTTAAACCTTCTAAGACAGCAGTTTTCACCTTGTAACTCATCTTAATTATTTTCAATCTTTATCTGCTTGATTTTCGTATTTTTGCTTGTGTTTTTTTTGGATCAGGGATTATGGATTGGTTTAATCTGCGGTCTCTCAAGCCAAACCTGCGCTCTGTTGTTGATTATACTGCGTTCAAAATGGACTAAAATGGATCTATCAGAGCCACAGGATGATGGCAAGGAAAATTCAAACTTGCCTTGACAACGTCTCAGCAGTATGCTCTTAATGAAGAGAAACATGTTAAGAAACTGGAAAGACGATTTCGACTTCGATTTTCATATTATCTTCTTAATAAATATTTGGCGATTATCAATGCCAAGGGTGCCAATTTTGACAAGGAAAAGAGGAAAGAACCATTGGGCACTCACCATCTTTGAGGATGTTCTGCTTAAAATGTTTTTGATTGGAAATGAAGGCTGCTCTTTGCTATCCCTTCATTAGATATCAAAGTTTGCCGTAAATTTCGTGCCATCAACATTGAATCTAATTATTAGAAAAAACTTTAGTTTAACTAAATTTTGAGTCATATTTATTTGTGAAAGAGTAAAAGTTAATTGCACCATACTGGGATCAATAATGCAGGAGCATTCTTATTAAAAAAAATTACATGGAAAAATGAAGATGGAATAAATGGTGCTAATCAAGGATTAAGAAATCTGAAAATGTTCATAAGTGGCTAAGATTTCAGGCTTATTTTCACAGGCAAAACCAAATTAATTTTGAGCAAGACACTACGGAATCCGTATACTTTTAGGACGCTGCTTGTTTCTAGTTTCCAATGCTTCAAACGGTGGGTGAATGGGAGCATTCTAGTGGGAATTATTGGCGTTATATATGCAAGTGCTCGGGTTACAGAAATAGAATTCAGAAGAACCCAAAGACCTATTGCCAAAATTTTGCATCCTGCGAGATTGTCGTCTTAACAATCATCACATTTGGGAACAGAATATCCTCAACATACTTGGATTGAGTAAGAAGAAGACTCTTAGCATTCCATGTACTCTCAATGCCAAGAAAATAATGCAACCAATGGAGATCCTTCAAAGGAAAATGGCATTGTAGAGTAGTAACAGTAGAAGATAAAAAAAGATGAAGAGCTCCTAGCAAGCACAATATCATCAACTTAAACTAAATATAAAAATAGACACAAATAGCACTTTATTGATAGAAAAATAGAGAAGAATCTACCTTAGAGCCAACAATCCAAGACTTAATTAGGCTTTTAAAAGGCATCAATACTAGGAACGTGGTGTTTGCTTGAGAGCAAAGATTTCTTTCTGCCGACAAAGATCAATGAACACCCGAGGTTGAGTCATAAAAATCTACTCATCAAGAGAGCTATGAAAAGAAAGACATCCAATTATTTAACTTCCAAACTTTTAGAGATCATGAGATAAAATAAGTCATATAGTGATAGGCTTGATGACTAGAGAAAAGGTCTCGGTGTAATCAAAACTAGGGCATTGATGAAAACCCTTGGCAATAAGTCAAGCTTTATAATGCTCAATACTACCATTCGCTTGTTTGATGTGATATATCTATTTACAACCCACCACATCCCGCGATGAAATAGCCGATACCAAGTATTGTTACTTATCAAAGAATTAATCTTTTCTCCTATGGCCTTGCTCTAGTGCACATCCTTCACTACCTAGGAATATGACTAAGGATCCAAAGTTGGGCCAACAGTAGTAACAAAGTTTCGGCTTCATTCAATCCGATTTTGATCAAGTGATCATTAGATGATGACCAACAATGTGCTTGGACCATGGGTAGTGCCACGATGGAAGTGCACTCGGTAGACCGGGTGAGTAGATTGGGTTTATGAAGTAGGTCGGTAGGTTATTGGGTGTGTAGCACTAGAAGCCGGTTGTTAGGTCATGGGTTATGCAATAGAAGAGGCATGCTATTGGGCTATGAGTTGGACAATAGTAAGAGAAAGTTGTAGGGTCATGGGCCGGTCGGTGGCAAGGGTAGGTCGTGGGGTTGTAGGTCGAGGGGCATGTGGTTAGCTTAGGCAAGGTTATAGGTCCAAGGGTGGTAGCGAGGCGGTTGTGCTATGGACTTAGCAAAAGAGGTAGAGGATGAATAGCCTATGAAGTCTAGTGTAAGGCGAACTTTGGACCTAGAAGGCTAATTTGCTTAGATTGAAGCTCGTTAAATTTCAAGGAAGTGGTGGTTGGCGCAACGCATTATAAGGTTGGTCCGAGCTAAGCGAAGCAACTATCCTAATAGTTGTGTGGTAGGATTGCGACCAACAAAAGACCCAAATGGAATGAGTGGTGGATTTAGTAGTGGGCTGACTTGGAAACTAAACTATAAAGAGATTGTTGAAGGAGGCATGCATTACTCTCAATAAATAGAAACTTTTGTTCGGAAAATATGAATAGCCTATGAAGTCTAGTGTAAGGCGGACTTTGGACCTAAAAGGCTAATTTGCTTAGATTGAAGCTCGTTAAATTTCAAGGAAGTGGTGGTTGGCGAACAGATTATAAGGTTGGTCCGAGCTAGGCGTAAGCAACTATCCTAACGAGTTGTGTGGTAGGATTGCGACCAACAAAAGACCCAAATGGAATGAGTGGTGGATTTAGTAGTGGGCTGACTTGGAAACTAAACTATAAAGAGATTGTTGAAGGAGGCATGCATTACTCTCAATAAATAGAAACTTTTGTTCGGAAAATATGAATAGCCTATGAAGTCTAGTGTAAGGCGGACTTTGGACCTAAAAGGCTAATTTGCTTAGATCGAAGCTCGTTAAATTTCAAGGAAGTGGTGGTTGGCGTAACGCATTATAAGGTTGGTCCGAGCTAGGCGAAGCAACTATCCTAACAGCTTGTGTGGTAGGATTGCGACCAACAAAAGACCCAAATGGAATGAGTGGTGGATTTAGTAGTGGGTCGACTTGGAAACTAAACTATAAAGAGATTGTTGAAGGAGGCATGCATTACTCTCAATAAATAGAAACTTTTGTTCGGAAAATATGATATGATGCAAAAAGTAAATTTTCTCAATGGCGATATCTAAACAAAAATATCCTTTGTAAATTTTGTTATAACCTAAAAATACATATTTGTAAAAATGAGGTTGCAATTTATTTTCAGTATAGGGTTGAAACCAAGATAGCAAATACAACCAAAGACTTTAAGAGAAGTATAATTAGCAGATTATTGAAATAAAACCTCATATGGAACTCGATTAGATAAAATTGGAGTTAGAAGTCTATTGATGGCATAAACAAAAGCATTAACGACTTATGTCCAATATTTCAAAGGAATCTGTGCATGATTTTACATAGTCAAACTAGTGTAAACCACATGTTGATATTTGCACTTAGCACACCCATTCTACGCTCAAGTATAACAAGAACTTCTCTATGTAATGCCATTAGTAACAAGATAGTTAGTGAAAGCTTGATACTTACCATCTCAATCTGCTCGCAAGAATTTTATAAGACATCTAAAAAATTTCTCAACCACTTGTTGAAACTTAATAAGCACTAAGTACTTCAAACTTGTATTTAATAAAATAAATTCAAGTATACTTGCTAAAATAAAAAGAAAAAAACATAATATTTAGCACTAGTAACAAAATCAATAGGAGATGGACCTTAAACATCCGAACAAACTAATTCAAAAGGTGCATGTGCTTCTAGAATTAGTAAAAAGCAATCTAATACTTTTACTAAAACTACATGCATGACAAAGCAGAGCAAAATTTTTTTTGAAAAGTTTAATATTATTGCAATGAATAACTTGACAAAGAGTCTAAAGAGAGGCATGACCTAGGCGTGCATGCCAAGATGGAAAAATGACAACCAAAGCATGAGCTACGATAGGAGATGGACAAGGACCGGTGGAACGACTAAAAGGCAAGACATACGAGTCCTTGCTTATTTTGCATGGTGGGAAGTACCTCTTTTGTGTGGATATCCTTAATCATAAAATAAGCTGGAAAAATTCAATAGACATTGCATTAGCTTTAGTAAAGGCATTGCTTGGATATTAAGTTCTAATAGATAGAAGACATATATAAAGTATTTGTCAAGTAAAAAATGCAATTACAAAAAGACATAGAAGATGTGCTAATATGAGATATGGAAAGATTTTTGCCATTTTTAAAAGTGACTTGCTCAAACCTATGGTATTCGAAGAAAAAACTAAGTTGGTCATATATGTTATAGATGATGTGTAACCCCAAAATTAATAATCCAAGGTAGAGATAATGGTGGTTCAACAACAATAACATGGCTAGCATGTTTGAATCTAATATTCTATTGATAATTAGCCTTTGGTTTAAAAAAAGGACATTACCTAGTAATAACGCCACTCCATCGACGAGTTATGACAAATTATTGGATTTGTATTTGTGGCTGAATAATTTGAAGGAGTAAAGGTATTCGAAATGAAGAAGGGTTGATGGAAGAGTAATTACCGGTAGATAAACCACCACTATACTCGGGCACGCCTTTGTTGGCCACAACCACGAGAAAAACTACCACCACTAGTGTAATAACCACATTTGACCCCTCATTTATTTTCACATAAGTTCAAAAAAAAAAAAAAAGAAATTAAAAAATTAAAAAAACCTTGAATGTTGCAAAGTTTGCCTTTTTCATGATTTTTATGCATTTTTATCAATTTTTAGGTTTTTAATTCCTTAGAGTTATTTCCTATTTTAATTAAAAAAGAAAAAAATAAAAAAATAAAAAAAATTGAGAAGATGATTTAGGATCCAATTAACAATGATGTGAAAAGCGAGGACCAATTAGAAAGGGATAAAAATTATGGAACTTGATTGAGCATTAATCAATGTAAAATTTAAAGAAATTAAGAGAATAGGGATTAAATAATTTCAATTAAGGAGCTAATTGGAGAAAAATAATTGAACATCTATTGAAATTAAAAAAAAAAAAAAAAACAAAGCAAGGAAGAACCAAAATTAGTTTTATCCTAAGTCCTAAAAAAATTCTTATATAAACACCCTTTCACTTTATTTTTTAAGGCTCTTCATAATGATTCCCTTATCTCATAAATCCTAGCCTCCATCACTCATCTTTCTATATATATATATATATATATAAACCCTAGCCTTCATTCCCAATCTTCCGACCAAAACAACCTAACCTTCACGATTCACCTAGTACAAAACAATCGAGCCACAAATATCCATAACCTTTACAAAAAAAAAATGTAGAAAGGTAC